ACTGCACATTTGCCTCTACCAGAATATGAGAATGTCAACGTCGACAGGCCCTTTCGTTGAGCATAGCATCCAGCTTGAGCACGGCTTGCTGTCTTTGCAATGTCCTCGATCTGACAGAACCACGCAGCACGGCATTGAACGTGATCCTAGTTAAGGCACCACGATGTCTCGCTCCACTCTTCGCAAGTTGAAACACCCTGAATCCCACGGCCCTTGCCAGCACCTGCAGCCCCTACTCGATTTCCCCGCCTGGTGCACCACCTAACACAGAAACAGTAACCAACGACCCCGTCACTCCAGGAAGTCCTTTTATTCACGACTCAATAACCAGAAACCCAGAATGGCTTTGTTTCGACCAATAACATGGCCCACCGATGGCATAAGCGCCTTAACTATCAACTAGTAAACTCACTGGAACATCAACATGAGTTCAAACATTCTAAAGCAATCGACTTTCCTGCGGTATTAATGACCTACTAGGTATGGGCAGTCGGCCAAAGAGTCCTTGCGGACATTTTCCCTTCCCCTTTTTATAGACTCTTGTAACAATAACAAGAATACAACGAGTTTAATGTTTTTTGTGCTTTATCCTATGACTAAATTTAACTGGTTGAATGCCAGAGATTGGACGCTTTTAATATCAGTGATGTTTGAACCTGTCTAAGGAATATCCAAATCTGAGTTTTTTCGAAAAAAAAAAAAAAAAATGCCCCCCCCAAAAACAAAATTGCCGGATCAAGCTTGTTAACTCATACTTACGTAAATGGTACCGCAACGAGAAAAAAAATAAAGGGTGGGGGGGGGGGGGGGGGATAAGAATATAACAGACATGGAATCCCACTTATATCACGAGGTGCAAAGGGTAGTGGCACAGATGAACTTGTTAACTGCGAGTGGCAAAGTTGTGTGGTCTGATCAGAGAACGTCCCAGAACCGTGTAGTGGCTCTATCACCACTACCCTAACAGTCCTACTCCAGATATAACCGAAAGATAGCGTTACAAATCATTGATACCAGTCTGATAAAATACGATACAATTTTTTCTCAACTTCCATCCACCCTTTAAACAGATCGTTACCAGATCGATCATTAATGAAATGTTCTGATTGGGTGGAAGTTTTCTCATTATCTGATAAAACTCATCCATTATCAGTATCTCCTTATCACCCGATCGGCACACAAAACAGCGTACTCTACAAACTTATTCTTCCTAAATCATCGAGAGTTCATAACACATACAACATGTCAAAATACACATACTAATCAATGAATAATCAAGTAACGTGTCTCTTCATGTATTACTCAAGTTCTGTGCGATAGTCCCTTTTACGTAAACGCTACAAACAAAATCAAATACAAATAACACCCTCACAAAACTACACCACACAATAAGCAACCACATTATTCCATTCCTATTTTAGCCATTTCAGTTTTTTTTAAATCATACTGTTAAGGCCCTAGTTTATGGTCTCTTTAATATACACTTAATTATCCGATTTTAGTAATATAGTAAAATTGACGTTTTAAATCATATCACGATTCTGTAGCATACAGGACCTCCGGTTCTCGTGAAAGAATCTGATTTGAACTATGTTTTATATTCTATCGGTTGTTTCAAATCTTAATATTTAGTAAAATGGAACCCACTGTTGACATCTGAAAACAAAGTCAAACAAATGTTCCAAGCTGGCTGCGGCCTGGTGTTACTCTATTAGAAATATTCGCACTGCTCATGTGCCAAAGTAATGTCCATGTCAAATGTTTTTAAGGATAATTAGGCTTACCTAGAGTACCCACCTAGAGTACCACCTAGAGTACCTACCTAGAGTACCTACCTAGAGTACTAACCTAGTGTACATACCTAGAGTACCTACCTAGAGTACTTACCTAGAGTACCTACCTAGAGTACCTACCTAGTGTACCTACCTAGAGTATCTACCTAGAGTACCTACCTAGAGTACCTACCTAGAGTACCAACCTAGAGTACTTACTTAGAGTACCTACCTAGAGTACCTACCTAGAGTACTTACCTAGAGTATCTACCTAGAGTACCTACCTAGAGTACCTACCTAGGGTACCCACCTAGAGTACCTACCTAGAGTACCTACCTAGAGTACCTACCTAGAGTACCTACCTAGAGTACCTACCTAGAGTACCTACCTAGAGTACCTATCTAGAGTATCTACCTAGAGTATCTACCTAGAGTACCTACCTAGAGTACCAACCTAGAGTACTTGCCTAGAGTATCTACCTAGAGTATCTACTTAGAGTTGTTACCTAGAGTACCAACCTAGAGTACTTGCCTAGAGTATCTACCTAGAGTATCTACTTAGAGTTGTTACCTAGAGTACCTACCTAGAGTACCTACCTAGAGTATCTACCTAGAGTTCCTACCTAGAGTACCTATCTAGAGTATCTACTTAGAGTTGTTACCTAGAGTACCTACCTAGAGTACTTGCCTAGAGTATCTACCTAGAGTACACACTTAGAGTTGCTAGGT